ACAAGGTTTGGACGTAAGTCTGTCTGACCTCAAAGGCTGATAGTTTCTACTATGCTGATCACCTCCCGGGCTCCAACAGCCAGACTGAGGGATCACTCCTTCCTCTGAAGTTTTACCATCCAGAGTCTGAAGACTTCAATATATACTGTCTTGCCTTATTCCTAAGAGTTGTCATCTGTTTCCATTTATGGCATCTGCTTTCCCTATTTGAAAGCAGAAACCGTGTTTCTGTATCCTTCAGAAGGACACGGTAGGTACCCAAATGTGCACGCTAACTGAGCCTTTCTAACAGATTTCCTAGAGAGCCTTGGGCAAGTGGAATAAAACACCCCAGTTTTTATTTTTCCGCAGGGGTAGGGGGAGCTTAGCATAATACATAGGAGAGGTGCATGGGCTTTGATGTCAAACAAATATAGGTTTAAATTCTAGCTCTGCAATTTCCCTGCTCTACAATCTTAAATAACAACATTTCGGAGTCTGCTTTCTTATCTATAAAACCAGGATCCTAATGATACTTCTTTTAGTAGGTAAACCCTTATGAAGATTAAATAAAAATGATGCTATAATGCACATAATAGAGTGCCTAGCACATAGCAAGCAATCTCTAACGATGGCTATTATATTATGACACTTGTATTTTTCTTGGCTTGCCTCAAGACCTAAGGAAAGGAGGGTGGCTCAAGAGTTCTTGAGTTGGCTAGCACAATCTGACTGGCGCCCCAAGTCAGCAAAGCTTTAGAAGTGCCTAGTCAAGTGCGCAGCACAGCCATTAGCTCCCAAAGGCCACCCGACACCACCCCCCACCACTGCAGTCCCAAGGACCAGGCCATATGCATCCAACATCTGTCCTTGCAGCTAGGTGCAGGCTCTAGCTGGGTATTTTGAGTACATGCTCAAAAGTTTGATATCAAGATGCTCTGGCCAAAGTAAAGGTACAATCACTCAGCTCTTACTGCCCACCGTGACCCCTCAGCCATGCTCCTACAATGCTAGGAACTCATCCAACCTCTGTTACGGCATTTCTTGTACTGAATTTTTATTTGTTTTCATTTCTGTCTCTCCAACTCAACCTATACACCCAACACCTAGCACAGTTCCTGGGATATATTCAAAGACTCAGGACACACTAATGAAATGAACTAGATTAGGTGTGTGGGAAAGAAGGATGCTCCTCAGACAGATAAGGCTGAGGGTCTCTATCCTTACATTCCTTCCCAGTTCAACTATGATGTTCATGGTGACCTGTGCTCAAGAGTATCACTTCAACCCCCCCCCCCCCCCCCGGACTTCTCTGGTGACTCCTAACTGACTCTGACCTCCCCAGAACTCCAAAAACCTTCCCCACATATGAGAGCTTGCAGTATTTCTACTTCTCTTATTTCCGACCATGCACTTTAACACGTACTTGCTATTTCCTCATCAGATAGGAGCTCCCAGAGAGCAGACACTGGGCCTCTTTTCCTCTGACTCCCTCTAAACATTCTAAGCATACCCAGACCACCCTTTGCCCCTAAGACACAAGGGCTTAGGAGATGGACATGGGAGAGCTGAGTAGCCTTGATCTTGTCCCAGAGTGCCTTCTGGGTGCCCCTCATCAGGCTAAAGCAGAACCTAGTGAAGTTCGGCTGCACAAGGAACATCTCTCTTCCCCCGAATGCCAGGGATCTGCTAACATCTTTCATCTCACCTCCTCCTCCACCCTTTTCTCCTCACAGTCGACTTCAGGGCCAGCCCTGACCTACCGTTCCGGGTAATATCATCCAGCCCTCCTCATGGTTCTGGAGGAGAGGAAGCCGATGCCACTGGAGTGAAAGATCCGCTGTCCAACATCCTTGTCCAGATGTTCCCGCTCAAGCTTATCTATGGTATTTGTCTGCTTGCTTGCCTCTCTTTCCATGACACTGAGAGCTCTGGGAGATCAGACCCTGTCTCACTCTTCATCTCTACAACCCCGCCCAGAGCACAGTAGCACCCTGCAAGGGTTCATTAGTATTTGCTAAATAAATAAGTACACAGTCGACCTTACTTTCCTCTCACTTCCCTCTCCTCACAGCCTCCAGGCCAAACCAACTGAGCACTGAACTCTGCCTTCTCCCCTTCTGGTTTCCTAAGGATTTTTCCCCCGAAAGACTAAGTGATGATCCTCACATCCCAGTTCTTGGATGGTCTTGGAGCAAAGTGGTGGGAAGGGAACAAGTCACAACAACGACAGCGTAACGGGGGCTTGGAATTCTGCCCCTCAGTCACTGCAGGACACAGGACCCTCTTCTGCCCCTCCCCCCTCAGATATCCAAGCCGGAAGTCCCCTACCCCGGATATCAGCCACTGGCTCAATGTGCCCCTGAAAGCAGCAGCCCCGGAAGCCAATCTGCTTCAGCCCACAGGGAGCTAGCTACGTCTTGCTCCAGCTCTCCGGGAGCCGGCTCCTCTTTCCACGTGCCTTAGTGTATCTCTGTGCGGCGCCAAACAAGGATGAGGGGTGAGATTCGTCGTCGCACAAAACTAGAAAGTATGTACATTGTTATCAGAATCCCCATCCCCACCCCCCCCACGCCCCCACTTAACCTGAGCCCCAATCAAGCATTTCAACGTCAGAACCTGAATCCAATCAGCTCTCCACAACAGCTCCAGGTGATGCCTCCTCCCCCCCCCCACCTGAAAATGCCTAGGAAAGCTTCCTGCCCCGCCCCCTATGACGGGAGGGGGCACAGAAAGGTGACGAAGTGGAGGACAGCCATCCCCTAGCTGTATGCACCCCCTCCCTTGCCGGGCAGTGCCTCAGTCCCATACAGAGTTGTTGCTCATGAGCTGAAGTCCAAGCACTTGGTTTTCTAACGTGAGGGATCCTTATGGCGACGGGACAGAACCCAACAGCAATGCGCTCTCAACCTCCAGTTTAAGCCTTGGGGATTTAGCTGATGTCCCCAAGACAGGAACCAAGACAGGAATTGGGCTGTCATTCCCTGTTTCAGGGGGGCAACCACAATTTGTAGAGTTAAATGTGAACGAGTGTCTTTCCTTATTTGTGTTATTCTCATTCTTTCTCTGTATCTACACACACACACACGCACGCACGCACGCACACACATATTTCCAGCTGAATCCAAAGAGGGAGATATCAATCCCTCAGGAGTGCCAACTCAAAAAAGAAAGAAAGAAAGAAAGAAAGAAAGAAAGAAAGAAAGCAAGCAAGCAAAGCAATCAGTTTCCCAACACACACACAAAGAAGTGTCAACTCAGTCAAAACAAAAGGTTAGAATGACACTCCCCGCCCCCCCTCCGATTTCCTTCAATTCTTCCTGCAGTGCAATCCCACCAGATCGAATCATCCCCAAACCAGAGGGGAGGATGGGTCTCTGCTTTCCTTCTTCTCCCTGCCCCTGACTCCCACAGCTGGTATGGCCCCTATGCCCAGGGGCTTCCACTCTCCATACATTATCCCTGGGCTTCTCCTTATGTCTCAAGTTCAGTGGCTTCTGAACCTGCCCGTCTCTAGCCCCAAACAAACAATTCAACTCCTGCCCAACCTGTCTCAAAAGCCTGTCTGCCCTTGCTGGAGATTTGCTTGGGCCCCAGCAGGGCTCACCACAGTTCCAAGGGTAGATAAGACATTCCAGGGCCTCATCCCAGGGAAACAGACGGGCTGGAAAGGGGCACTTGTCATCCATTCCTCTAGACCGAGGGAGGAGGCATCTCTGTCCAACACACACACACACACACACACACACACACACACAGCACAGTGCCAAATGCCAAGGAAGGAATCAGGAGCAGAACCTGGCTCAGGGCAGGAGAGGGGCTGCCATGGGGACCAGAGTCTAGGTGATTCAGCACTCCGCCCTCTCTCAGCCCAGCCCATGGGCCACACTCATGACAGCTCCTGATGCCAAAGTGCTGACTTGGAGGCTGAGGAAGAATTCTTTCTAAGATCCAAAATTCTGCAATGCTCCAGTGTGGCTCCTCATCCAGGCCTTTCCATCCCAGGGCTCAGAACAAGACTTGGAAGAGGCCCTCAGCCATTCCCTTGGACCCTGCCTCTTGCCCAACCTAGATTCCCTATGCTTAGCACTCCCCCCACCCCCCCAGTCCATCTAGGAAACAAACCTGAACAGCCAGGGGAAGAGGGTGGCTGAGGAGGAACACAAGAGGCCTACGAACCCTCAGCATCCTTCACCCCCAAGCCATGAATTGAGTCAAACATGCAGAAAGGGGTTATAAGAGGATTCTGCAACAGAGACTACATCGGGCCTTCAGAGCCCTAGGCCTCCCCAAGCAGGAAGGAGGGCCCCAAGGCAGGTGATGGGGGCTCAGTACAAGCTGTGGGGCTACATACAGCACCAGGAAAGGCAAGAAAGAAAGGTGATGGGTCAGGCCAGCTAACAGCCAAGGGGGGAAGCTGGGGTTCTTGAGAGGGACTATGTATGGTGCAGGAGGAAACCAAGAGGCAGCTGGGAAAGGGCTGGGACAGGGTGTGCAGGGGGACCTGGGGAAGATAGAAACTGAGGGAGCAGATGGAGAGACAGGAACCCGGAGTGATGCGGGTACGAGGTGGGAACGAAGACAGGGGAGGCCAAGGAGAGGGGCTGATGCGAGGGGTAGGAAAGATGGACCCGGGATGGGGTCATACCAAGTGGGGTGTGGAGGTAAACAGGTATAAGGGCAGGGCAGTGGATGAGGCAGGGACGGAAGGGAAGGGGAAAGAGGTCGAGGATGCAGAAAGGGGGAGGGGAGGCGGCCAATGAGACAGAAAGGCTGTTGGGGTGGGCAGGGGGGTGGGAGCTGAACGGGGGTGGGTGCAGATATCCACAGAACAGGATGGATTCAGGGCAGGTGACGGTGTGGGGACGAGAAAGGACGGGGATGTGAGCAGAGGGGGATGGGGACAGGTCGGGGGATGGAGACGGACAGAGGAGGGCGGGAACGAGGGGGTGTCGCTAGCTGGGTTTCCATGACCCCCGTTCTACCCCACCCCCATCTCTCCTGTATCCGCGCTCGCCTACCTCCGAGGGCTCGGGTGCCGGCCCCGGGCGCAGTCGGTGCTGTCCGCCGCCGGCGCCGCCACTTCCCCCGCGTCCCCTGCAGCGCCTCTCGCCGCCAGCCGCCGCATTAGGGCAGAGACCAGCCCGTGCGCGTCCCCGGACGGCCGGCGCGCCCCCGACACCCTGCGTGCGCGCCCTCGCGCCCCTCCCTTCGCGCGCCGAGCGGGGACCTGGACGGAGGAGGAGGCAAGATGCTCGGGGCCCCGCCTGGAGCGTCGCGGAGCGATTCGCAGGGCCCGTGCCGGTAAAAAAAAAAAAAAAAAAAAAAAAATGCCCACTGGCATTGAAAATGATCATAATTGAAGCCCCCACGGTATCACGTTTTGTCCTGTATATGCCCCCTCCACCATCGGGCTGTGACCTCTTGGAGGCGGAAATGGGCCTGAGAGCCTGTGTTCCCAGGGAGACTTGCTTGTGGTAGCCTCTCCAGGGACGTTAGTTGAGAGAAGGATTGTTGAATCCCGAATTGAGGACGTGAGAAAGTTGTGACTCCTTCCGGAGGTTGCGTGGTCGTTTAAAAATAGGAGATTGTGTCCTGCCCTCTGGGGGCTCAGGCCCTGTCCCAGTCTTGAGATAGGGTGGAAGAAGTCCGATGACTGGAAGGCCCAAGATCTCAGTGTTCGTCCCGGTGCCGCGACTAATTCTCTCACAATGGCAGGGCACTTCCTCACTGTCCTCCACCGAACAATGAAAAGTTGATTGGATGATCCCTTCGGGTCCTTTCTGGGGCCGACAGGGAGAATGTGTCGGACACAGGCGGAGACGTGAGCACAGCTATTACCTGAAACAGTGGACAGATCTGAACTGAGGAATCATAAAACCTTAGTTTTGGTAGCTTCCAGTCCCGTCCCCCAACCTGAACCACAGTTCCCTCCACACACACCCTCTGAGGTCTCATTCGAGGCCACATGCAACTGCCTTTTCTGCTCCCACGGCTCCTGCCCTGTCACTCACTACCTTCACTGCACTGTCCCCACCTACCTGCCTGTCTCCTCTCCAGCTTGTGGGAGGTGGGAGAGCAGGAATTCATCCTGTTCCCCATGCTTTCCCAGCCCTAGCACAGAGTAGGTGCTCCATAAATGCTTGCAGAAAGGATGAGTGACCACTAATGGTAGATGGAATCCTCCAGGTAACTGACAAAATGTTGAACTCTTCAGTTGGCTGCTTTGAGATCTGCAACCAGAGCTATTGGGTAAAGACAATGGGAAACGGAGGAAGGTCCAAATGGCAGGGCCTCAAAGCGTAGCTGCCCATGGGCATCAGGGACCCTGGGCAAACGTTTCTGCAGGGCCCCTGTGTATACACACAATTTGATTTCACTCAAAATTGTTTCTCAGGACTCTCCTGGCAGACTGGCCTCATGTAATCCTGTGAATGAAGTAGTCTACCTCCTGGATCTGGGCCTGACCACAAGGCCCTGGGATGACCTGGGGCAGCCAGAGCTTCTGGGGGGCTGGCCAACCTGGGGCTTCTGGTCAACCCCTGTGTGGAGAGGGAGACAATGTACAGGGTTGGAAAACTCTCCGAAGGGGAGAATCTGGAAACTGAGGCGCCCCATGCAGATGACACTACTGACCCCAGTTGGTCCCAGGCACTGGAGGGACACTTAGGAAACTTGGAGGAAGGTGCTTCAAAGCACCAGGGCCCCTCAGGCCTGCACCTAGGACAAGATCCCCCCTTACCTTCCCTACTGGAAGTGTCCACATGGCTGGCTCAGTGGGAGAAAGAAGATAATTTTCCTTTTCTAAGCACTCAATTTCTTGTATATATCAGTCACTTGCTTTTTACAGTGCTAGCAGGTAGATATTTTATAGGCCGTACTGCATAGTGGCTGTGGGATCAGCTCTAGAGGTAGCTGGCTAGCCACCTCCACCACATCAGATCTGGGTCAACTTGGGCAATTTGCTGATTTTCCTTTTATTTCTTTAAAAAATATAATTAAAGTTGGGCGCCTGGGTGGCTCAGTCGGTTGAGCGCCTGACTTCAGCTCAGGTCATGATCTCGCGGTCCGTGAGTTCGAGCCCTGCGTCGGGCTCTGTGTGCTGACAGCTCGGAGCCTGGAGCCTGTTTCAGCTTCTGTGTCTCCCTCTTTCTCTGCCCCTCCCCCGCGCATGCTCTGTCTCTCTCTCACTGTCTCACAAATAAATAAACGTAAAAAAAATTTTTTTATAAAAAAAATATATATATATAATTAAAGCTATACAAGCATGTAGCTGAATCAGAGTCGAATTATTCTATGAGATTTCTTTCTTTCTTTCTTTCTTTTTTAACTAGGCAAAGAACTTTATTAGTGTTGTTTCAAACTTTATTCCCGGGCTTCTTCAGCTTAATTAGCTGCGAAGAATGAATTGTATATAAGCAAAAACTGAAAAGAGCTGCAGTGTCCAAGGGTCTTGGGCTTCAAAAATATTAGAGATCCAGATTTTATCAGATCCATGAGCAAAATTTGTAAAAAGCAGCCATCATATACAATAGCAGCTCCCAGTAACTTCTCCACGTTTTATCTTCTTCAGAAGTTGACTCCATTCAGTGTGCTTCATTCTTGGAAGCTTCATCCAAATTCTCCACGAGATCTGGACCTTCATCATCATCATCCTCTCCAGTAGCAAGTGGTGCCTTTCCATCCACAGATTGTTTGGGCAGAGCTTCAGCCCAAAGATACTTAAAGCCTCATTTGAGATAGTGGGGAGCATTTCTGTCAGCTGCTTTGTCTCAGCATGGCCTGTGATGGTGAAAGTATTTGCTGCCAGGGAGGCCTGCACTTTAGGGTTGTTAAAGTGGATCACTAGTCCTTGGTTTGAGAACCAACTCAAACCAAGAACTTGTGGCTCAGTCAGTTAAGCATCTGACTCTTGATTTTCAGCTCAAGTCATGATTCAGGGTTTGTGAGTTCGAGCCCCACGTCAGGCTCTGCAACAGTGCAGAGCCTGTTTGGGATTCTCTCTCTCCCTCTCTCTCTGCCCCTCCCCTGCTCACGCTTTCTCTTTCTCTCTCTCTCTCAAAATAAATAAACATTTTTTAAAAATCATTTAAAAAGGTGTTCATTATGACTACTCAAATCCTATTCACAAGTGACCTTTTCATTTCCTGCAAACTTTTTATGTTTTCTGGACTTAAGAATTATCGTGTTTTGTTTACTTGTCTTACATACAGCAGTTACAATTCAACACTAAATTCTCCATCAATTGTCTATATCCATATGTTCAGAACTTTCAGAGAGTCTATAAATTTTATCTACTTGAAGATTCTCTCTAGAGCCTTCTGACAAGTTCCAGTCTCTCTTTCTCTATTCCCACTACACAGCTATTGATATCGTCAAGCCTCAATTTCTTCATCTGTAAAACAGGGATAATTATATTACCTCATAGAGGTGTTGTGAGGATAAGCAAAACAGTTCATGTAGCACAGTGTTTGTCGTATAATAAACACTTAATAGGGGCGCCTGGGTGGCGCAGTCGGTTAAGCGTCCGACTTCAGCCAGGTCACGATCTCGTGGTCCGTGAGTTCGAGCCCCGCATCAGGCTCTGGGCTGATGGCTCAGAGCCTGGAGCCTGTTTCCGATTCTGTGTCTCCCTCTCTCTCTCTGCCCCTCCCCCGTTCATGCTCTGTCTCTCTCTGTCCCCAAAATAAATAAACGTTGAAAAAAAAATTTAAAAAAATAAATAAATAAACACTTAATAAATATTGCCTTATTATGATTCGAGAGGAGAAAACCAAAGCTCCAAGTAACCTGCCCAAGTAACGGTTCAAAGCCCAGATGTGTCTGAAAACTCCTACTTAAAACTGTTTTGCTATTTTAGGGCAGGGCCTAAAAATCTTAGACTTACAAAGTTAGAATCTTCCAGTATGGTCAGTTGAAGAAACATAGGATTTTCCAAGAAGGTCCTGGCCGACCAGCAGGGTGAACATGGTCAGATCACCTAACCCCTCTAAGACACATTTCCTCCTATGGAAAGTGGGGATAAAGTGAGCGCCAAGGAGATAAGGCACTTTGTAAACTAAATGCTCTGCACAAATGTTAGTTACTGCCCAGCTTTCTCTTCCTTTGCTTCATTTTTTTAGCAGCTGAGAAAACCAAGTCCGTGCAAGAAGATCACGCAGATAGAAATCATGCAGTGATTCGGTGGTTGAGACGGAACTGGAGCTCATATCTCATGGCCTTAGTGTAAAGAAATTAAGTCCAGGCCTGATGGGCATCCAAGGCTGCCAGATGCCCAGACAGGATAGAAGCAGGTGTTTCCTTGGCCTCAGTGTCCCCAGCCACTGGCCTGTCCTGACCAGGGGAGGGACACCACCTGCTGGTGATGGACTCTGGGGACAGAGACAGGCCTGGATCTGGTGCAGGCTGTTCTACTAGTGTGTCAGGAACAAAGCTACTCAGTGCCAAGGGCAGACAGTGGTTGCTTTTTTCTTTCCAGACATTCATCTGGCCTTCCTGCTTCCTCTTCTTCCCTGGGTTTGTATTTTTGAGTTCTGGCTGAAACTCTAACGGGCATGGACTCTGTTGACCCTGGCCTTGAAACCCCACTCGCTGTGCCCTCTCTCATGGTGAATGGTAAGTCACCAATGACTTTCACATTCCCCAGCGTCTCATTGCTCCCAAGCAATGGCACAAGCCTTGCCTAACCCCAGACTCAGGCCAAGAGAAAGCCCCCACGCACTGAATCTCAGAAGCAGTGGACACTGGGCACGGGCAGGGATGATGAAAGACAAGGGACAGGACTGGGCTGCAGCAGTGTCTGTTATGCCCTCCAAGCCACCCTCCTGCACATGCTGCTTCATGCATTCTGGGTAGAGGTGCAAGAATGCAGCCTGCAGAAACACTAACACAAGTCACAAAGATGCATGTGCATCGGGAGGTTGTGCAGCCCACGCAGACGGCAATGATCCAGTATGCTGGTGCAATGGAGAAGTATGGAGCCATTTTTAAAAAGTAACACACACACACACACACACACACACACACACACACACCCTTTTAAAAGAACAGCTTAGTAACAACACGTAGGGTAGTACCCTTTTCTGGGGGTAAAAATAAAAGCAAATTGCTATAAGGGGTGGAAGAAGA